AAGTACTGCTATATGCAGAACAACCTTTTTCCCATCAAGCCTACATTTCACAAGCAACTAACAACCCAATACAGAAAAGCAAAAATAACCATGAAACAGGGTTATACTTTATGCAATTTCATGCTCTAAATCAAGGGTCTCCAAACTATGGCCTGCAGACCACATCTGGCCCACCTTGCCTTTTTGTCTGTCCCGGTGAACGTCACACTCAGGCAGGCTCAGGTCCGTTCCCTTTAGCCTGTGTGTGAGTGAGTGGGGGATGGCGTGCATGCATATATGATGTGGCCCTCACGCTGAAAAGTTTGGAGGCCCCTGCTCTAGACTCAAAGACACCTCTTTGGTACGTCTGTTTTACTGCATTACTGGGGATATGTGAATTAGAGGTACAGTGGTGCCTTGCATTACGATGTTAATTCATTCCAGCGAAATTGCTGTAGAATGAAAACTTCGTAATGCGAAATTAAAACGCATTAAAACCCGAATAATGCGTTCCTATGGGCTTGAAACTCATTGTCCAGCGAAGATCCTCCATAGCGCGGCCATTTTCGCTGCCTCTGCAATGAGCAGTCCGCCCCAGAAAACAGCGGGGAGCCATTTTTTTTACCCGGCGGTCATTTTGAAACCGCCGATCAGCTGGTCAAAAATCGTCATTTTGTGAGAATCGGTTCCCGAAATTCCCCCACTGAAACCATCGCCCCATCTGAAACCATCGTAAAGCAATCGCAAAAAGTTCGTCGTAATGCAATTTCGTCGTTAAACGTGGTGCTCTTCTTGCGAGGCATCACTGTACGTATTAAATCCTCTAACTCAGGGGTCTCAAACTCAATTTACCTGGGGGCCGCTAAAGGCAGAGGCTGGGCCACATCAGATTTTCTGCCAAGCAGAGCAAGAGCCCAAGGAAGTCGCCCAGGAGTTTCCTTAGCCTGGCTGGGGCTCCGAGGAGGAGGGGCATGAGAGCCCTTGTCACTGGCCATGACCCCCTCCGGCTCCTTCTTCACTACCACCACGACCAGCAGCAGCAGGATGAAGAAGCGGAGAAGGGAGGGAGCACCGGTTAGGGGGGAGAGAGGCACAACATAATTTTTTTTAAAAAAACCTCACAGAATCGCCTTGTCAAAGGAGAAAAGCCCCCATTGGTACCTGCAACATTAAACAGAATGGGGCAGGGCCCCCCACAGAGAGAGATCCAGCAACCTTCCTTTGAGGGTCCCCTCAAAAACGGTGCATTCAGCAGCAGTAGCTACCCCCCCACAACAGGGGAGCAAACTTTGCGAGGCAAGCCCAGGCAACCTCCAGAGCTGAGGCGTCTGAAGCAGGATGAGGAGGAGGAAGCACCGCCAGGCACTGAGGCAGCTGCTGGCCGGGCTGGTGCTGGGGGTGCCGAGAGAGAAAGACAGCCAGAGAGCCGCTTCCCTGGAAGAGGCGGCAGCAGCTGCTGTTGGCGGCTTAGAGGTGCTCTTTGAGGACAGGACTGGAGCGAACTCCGCTCTCAGGCATCGTCCGGCAGCAGCTCGGGGAAAAGGGCCAGAGGTGCTCCTCGTTCTCCGGCTCTCCCCCAAGACAGTGCCTCTTGCACCCTCCATCCGGAACTGCAGCCTGCTAGCCAGCAGACAGGTGGGCTGCCTGCCAGGCTGCAGTTCCAGATGGAGGGTGCAAGAGGCGCTGTCTTGAGAGCAGGCGAGGGAGGCAAGGCTTTTTTGACTCTTGACAGCAGAGGACGTGTGGGGGCCACAAATTATCATCCAGCGGGCCGCAAATGGCCCCCGGGCCACATGCTTGAGATCCGTGCTCTAACTCATGAACAAAATTTATCTTGAAAAATTTGAGAATTTTAGGGAATTCCGCTATCTGTCCAGCCAAGCAAGTACTATCATTAAAATCCATTTAAGTATGACATTAATTGATAGTTTTTGCACATTATGAACATAGATTATTGCCCAAGTTCCAAACACACAATAGGCAATCTATCATTTTGGTGCTCCTCATTTATAGAGTGGTGCCCCGCATAGCGACGATAATCCGTTCCGGATAAATCGTCGCTACCTGAAATCGTCGCTATACGGGGCAAAAAAACCCATAGGAACGCACTGAAACCCCTTCAATGCGTTCCTATGGGGGATAAACTCATCACTATGCAGAAATCCTCCATACGGCCGCCATTTTCGCTGCCTCGGTAAGCGAAGAAACCACGCGAAAATGCTGCGGGCGGCCATTTTTTCTTCCGGCGGCCATTTTGGAACCACCAATCAGCTGTTTTAAAACATCGCAATGCGAAGATCGGTAAGCGAAACGCTTACTGATCATCGCAACGCGATGTTTACCCATTAAAAACATTGCAATGCGATCGCTTTTGCAATCGTAAAATCCGCATCGCTATGCGGATTCGTCGTTAAATGGGGCGCTCGTTATGCAAGGCACCACTGTATTTGTTTTTTGTCCTTTCAGAACTGTTCTCAAAGGTCACACTTACCAACCTGATGCTATAGCTTCTGCAGGAAGAACAATGATAACAAACCACACAGCATGGAACACTATAGCATCATGGCATAAGCTAAAGTTTCCAAACTCTTTTTTCAAACTATACCAAATCCTGGTTTATTGGCTCACAGTGATTTCTTCATCACTGTACTCCTTTGAGAAGATATTTCATGAAGTCACAAACATAATGGTCAACTACACGAAAATTGAAAACTTCCAGAAAATACTGAAAAATTAGGTATATTTGTCCCCTTATTATCACCCAGATATTATTACCTGTTACCTAAAATTTACCAGTGATGGTAATTTTAAACAGCACACATTAGAAAACTAAAGAATATGAATGTAGTACATTTTGTTAATAAAATAAGATGACTTATTTCTCTAAGAGTAAATAAAGCCAGCCAATGCAATTACTACTTACTGCATTCTTGGGAACAATATCTTTCAGGGAGCAATGTAGTGCTAGCTTCCTTATGCCCCTAAGTTGCGTCTCTATGAGCAAATCAGGTTTTCTTACAACCATACACAAGTCTTCAGTTACTATATATTTTGAAGTGACATGTTCTGGGTTCATAATATCTTCATTAGGTACTCTGGTGGTGGAAGGAAACAGTTTTTTTCAAATATTACTTCTCAATACATTATTTCAAAATCCAAAAATAGTTCTAGCTGCATTTCAAGACACTTCTTTTCAACCTATCTAACCTTTGCTGTTTTAATCAGAGATGTAATTAGCACAGGCGGCCAGCCTGATTACCTCCCACTCCTAGATTCCACTGAACCCCTTACTGCACAACGTATGTCAGTGTGCCAGTGACATCATTGTCAATGTGCCAATCGCGGCAGTAGCTCAGCTGCCACAGCCCTGCCTCCCTGCTCACCCAGCCACTTTGCAGCTAAGCAGGGAGACTCATCCTCCCACCCCCTTAATATTCATATATGAATATGAAGCCCCCATTTTCTAATTGTAATCACACTCCTCTCGCTTCTGTTTTTTTCTCCTTCAAGCTGAGGAAAGTAATATTAACTGTTTAACTATTAAATCTACTGCTTCCTATATGTTAAGGGTGTATAAAACAGATACATTTGGGTCAAAAGTGATGCACTGTGCTGGATGTACTTTAAACAAAACATGCTTTACTGCAAAAGCATTTCCCTAAACACACAAGTCTGAAGTTGTCAAGAACTAAAACTATATGCTTCTCGGATTACTAGGGGTGGACTGCATCCCCCAAAACTTTCCAAGCCAATGCAATTCCTACTTACTGCATTGGCATAACTTTAGAAGTGGCAGTCCACAGAAATCTGCAGGCATCTAGATTTTCCCCTACTCTCTATAAATCCTAATGACAGAAAGACTGACTCCTTATATCCTCCATGCACAAGAAAGCCCAGCCTCCACTATGTAATAGTGCAGTAAATGTAAACGTTTTCATTAGAATTGGGAGCTGTATTAATGTGACATACCACAAAGGGTATGGAGGGATTCCGTGATCAGAGCCTACCTTGGTACATACTTAGCAGCACAGCACAGACAAGGCGTACAACTAGATGTCCGCACATCTGAACCAGTCCAAGGTTTAATTACTTTTAAAATCAGCAATGCCTTCCCATTCTACAGCTTTTTTTTCTTGAGTTTTTTTGAAGTGGCTTAGAAGTCTACTCCCCTCTCCTGTCAATGCAACTTGAAACAGCTTATATTTTTAAGTATAAATAAACACTACAGCTACTGTATGAAACTAGAACTAAAATGTAGCAATAGTAGAACCATTCATACCCTGAAACAATTAAGGCTTCTGGATGCCCATAATCTATAAGGAATACTCTCATCATTGCAATATCACAAATTTTGTATTTGGTTGGGCCACAGGGTTTCCCCTCGTTTGTATTCTCCAGTGGAATTAGTTGAATGATTTCTGCGCGGCACCACATTTCATGTTCTTTACTTCTAACAAAGATTCTTGTACCTGTAATAGGTTTTTAGAGTAAAATAAACTCAGTACAATCTTTAAAAATTCTTGTGAAATAACATTTATAGAACAAATAAGATGGCATATTCGGTCTTTACCACCAAAATCAAGTTTGATTTCAAAGTATCTTACTTATTACATCTGCAGAGACAATACTACTGAAGAGAAAGGGTAAGATCCAGGCATCCCCTTAGCTACTGTGTCAATGTGACTATTATTCAGAACTCTGTAAGATTCTCTATAAAATAAACCAGCACAGAGGGTAACTGATACCAGCACATTCAATTCTAAATATATCTGCAAACAAACAAATCTGGGATCAGCAGCTTCTACTGTTAGAACTGAACTGTGAATCTTAAGTCACTTACTCTGGTCACTCTTAATTCAAATGACTCAAATAATATCAGAGGTCCCTGTATATCAAGAATTATAGTACTTTCCAAAGTTTAAAAAAAGTCCACAGCAAATTTCATAAACGTTTTCCCCACAAGAATAAAATTCTAAAATCATGTACACCGAAATCACAGAATCTGAGAAATATCATTACCTAGTTCCAAAACGTCACTAGGAGATGAACTTTTCTTATGACAAAATTGCCTCAAGATTCTTTCCAAATGAACTTCAGTTTTCTTTTGTGACACTTTCCGAACATAGAAATGGCAAGGATTTACAACACAACTGACAACGACTAATTCTGGAGATTCTGTGCAGGACAGAAGAAGAAGATTGCAAAATTAAGATCAGAAAGTCACATTATATAAGCAAGACTGTATAAGCGTTACTGAAAACAAAGACTATTTTTGATGGCTCAAGTTAATGGCATGTTAGGGCATATCACAGAAATGCTCATAGGAATGACTTTTTCCAGCAATGATTTGAACAGAGAGGTTACTTATATGTAACTTTGGTTCAAGTGGTCCTCTGTGAATTCACACTAATGGGTTTAGTCTGCACATGCGCAGAGGCCTCGGAATATTCTGGAGCTAAGAAACCCCTTTAGGACGGCCCCCTAAGCCCACGTGGTCTGTCCGTCCCGGCGGTTACCTCAGTTCCCCAATTCTGCTGCTGCCCAAAAGAAGAGACGAACGTGAAAACTGGAACAAACCTGTGGGAGGGGGGGAGATGAAATATCCGGATAACGGGTAACCTTGTCAGAAGAGAACTGAAGAGAAGGTAGGTCAACTCGTAATGCAAGTTCAGAAGCCCTCCTGGCCGAGATAATGGCAACCCAAAAATAGAACTTTAAAAGTGAGCAAATGGAGGTCATGTCAGACGATTTAAGACAGTGTGGAGTGACCACTGGGGGGTAAGCAGTACCCGCGGGGGTTGTAGGCATGCCACTCCACGCAGAAACCATTTTATTGTGGGCTGTTGAAAGAGGAGGGCAGCCTGTGAATCAGGAGGCTGATGAGCGACTATCACTGAGAGGTACACATGATATGTGGCTCCGTCGTGTTGAGTAAGAAGATGAGGAAGATCCAAAATAGGGCAGAAAGAATCGTCCTTTTTTGGAACCAAAAACTATCTTGAAAAGAAACCTGGATCTGCTGGATTTGGGAAAATGTGGGATATGGCAGATTTTTGCAGAAGCACCTTTATTTCTTTCTTTAGTATGGTGGAAGGAGGAGTAAGGCTAACTTGAGATGGAGGAAGCTCCAGAAACTCTATCGTGTAGCCATGAGCGACTATGGCGAGTACCCAGTTGTCGGATGTAATATGGAGCCAATTTCGAAGAAAGGGTGCCAGGCGGGTAGAATAATGGATGAGTAGACCAGAGGTGGGAGGAGGGTGGAAGTCAAAGACCCTGCTTGGATTTCCAGTCAGCCTTCCTAAAGGTTTGACGTGTGCAGTGGCGCTGTTCTTGTTGTTGAACGGGATACGTAGGTTGAGGAAAATAAAACTTATGTTTGCCCTAGTAAGATTTATATGGTTGATAAGAGGATTGACGCTTCCAAGGGTATCGTTGCTTGTAGTACGGCTGTGAAGAATAAGAGCAAGCTGTCTTTTTTTGCCTTTTTCAGCCCTTCAAGGATGTTGTCTGTCTTTGGATCAAACAGGCCTGTACCATTGAAAGGTAAGTCGAGTGTCCTGGTTTTGGAGTCATAGTTGATGTTAACCAATCAAAGCCATGCGTGACGTCTAATGGCCACTCCAGTCATCAGACTTCTGGATACCGCCTCAATAATATGCCTGGCAGTCACTCTTTCCTGCCTCGCCAGAGCCGTAGCCTCCTGCTGTAATGATAGGCCTCTGGGTTTCAATTCTGTTGGGGCCGCCTGTAAGGATGGGAGGGCACGATTCCAAAGAAGTTTCCCCCAGCACCCTTATCATGTATAAAAAGGCAATAGATATTTCTGTATGGAAATTCTTGCATGTTTTGAGTGCCATTTTTCTATCTAATGGATGCTTTTTTTCACTGAATGATACATGATTTTCATAAACATATTTTTGTACAGATGGGGGTATGCGTATATCCCCCATGCAGCTGGACTTAATGAGGGGCTGGCCCCTGTGGCTGGCATGCCCACTCATGCGTCTGCTGGTGGCGGCAGCCTTGCTCATCCTTCCAATTGCTCCCAGAGCTGCAGGAACAGCAGAGGCGGACAATATGTAGCCTTCCAGATGTCAACAGACTGCAAATAATTAGACCTAGCCAGCATAGCTAAAAATAATAGGTGATGGGCAGTGCAATTCAACTGTATCTAGAAAACTGTATGCTGGCCACCAGAGATGGGCACAAACCAAACCACAAATCAGAAAAAATCAAATAACTGGGCCGATTCATGGTTCGGATTGTGACGATTCTGTTTTGCCGAAGCAAAATAAAATGTCAAACTTTTTTCGCTTTGTATTGATTTGGCAAAAAGGAATGCCCCCCCCCCAAGCCTTTTCTTGCTGCCCTGGTTGCCTGGTCTAACTCCTGCCACTGCTTCGCCAGGTGCTATGCGCAGAGGCAGTGCCCAGATTCCTTGCAGAGAAGCCTGATAGTTGCTGCCTGTGCATGCGCCCGACCCCCAGCTGATTGCCCCAACAATAGCAATGCAATAAGAGTAAGTAGCCCAAGCACAAATGGGCATGAACATGGCTAACCACGAACAATCACAAATCACCATTTTTCAGGTTCATACCCATCTGTACTGTACTGGCCACCCCAAGGTAGGAAAAGCTCTCTCCATCAAGAAAGGCACTGCATACACTGCCTAGATTATTAGCAAGCCCAGGTACATCAAAAGCAATCTACAGTGTCAGAAAACTCATGGATGAAACAGCCAAGACATCCTATAAGACAGGAAGGGGGTTATTACATCAGGTCAGCTGAGATCAGCAATTTTTGGCTTTTCCTCTTTATATGATTCCACTCCATCTGCTTGCAGCCACTGCAGATAGTCACTGTACAAAGTGGATACAATTCCGGAATCTTCTTGTTTTCTATGTTCCCTCCACTCCTTTTTGGTTTTTATGCGTATCTTTTTACAATGCAAACTTGAGATAAGAGACTTGTTTTTATTGACTCACAACACACTTTGAGAAACTTCCTGACCAGGGTATATATGTTTTAAATATAACAAATAATTCCTATACTGGAAAGGAGTCCATGAACACGTTCCGGACCAACTTTCATGAGCTTATGACATGTTAAAGGAGCACCTTAAGTAATTCTACATGTATAGAGAAGACTTGATCACAGAGGCCACAAAGAACCACAAAATGATTAAATCCACAAGTGTTTGATGTCTTAGAATTTGACGTTCAAAAGCAGTTGTTCAGAAAAGACAGGTAACAAAAGCCTAATATGGTACAGTGGGCCCTCAACTTACAAACCTAATCCGTTCTGGAAGGACGTTAGTACCTCAGAAAGTTCGTAAGTCGAAGTACCATTTCCTATTGAAATGCATGGGAACGGAATTAATCCATTCCAGCATTTCAAAAAATAAATAAATACAAAATTAACAATAAAAATAGCAAGTCCCACGTTGTGACTGCAAAACACACATACACAAACTCACAGAAACATAACCCCTCCCGGTCCAAACCCACGCTCCAAAACCCACACAGAAAAGTTTTTTTAAAAAAGGACTTACCAGTCCGAAGCCTGCCGGGGCCCCCCTGCCCCCGCGTGGCTGGGGGCGAGCGGACAGGCGCCCAGCCAGGTCTAGCCTCCTGGCGCTGGGTGAGCTTTGGTGGCACTGAAGCCAAAAAGGCAGGGAGAGAGGACGGGAAATTCGAATTTCCTGCCCTTCCTCCCTTCTTCCCTGCCTTTGGAGCTTTCAAAGGGCTTCTTCCGATGTCGGGGAAAGCCCTTTGAAACCTCTGAAGGCACCGATCGCAGCGGCAAGGACCCCCAGGGGGGTCTCCCATTGTGGCGTGGAAGCCCTGGGAGGCCATCCCTGGGGGTCCCCACCGCCGCGATGGGCGGCTTTGGAGCTCTCAAAAGGCTTCCTCTGACATCGGAGGAAGCCTTCGGAAACCTCCGAAGACAAAAAGGCAGGGAGAAAGGGTGGGAAGTTTGAACTTCCCACCCTTTCTCCCTGACTTTTTGGCTTCGGAAGCAAGCCGGGCAGCCAGGGATAAATCGGCTCCCTCCTTTCACCCGATGCTGAGTCCCCTTCGCGCTAGATCAGCCTGGCGCAAAGGGGAGAGACCTCGCTGGGGGTCCCTGCCGCCGTGATCAGCGGCTTCAGAGCTCTCAAAGGGCTTTCCCCTGACATCAGAGGAAGCCCTTTGAAAGCTCCAAAGGCAGGGAGGAAGGGCAGGAAATTCAAATTTCCCTCCCTTTCTCCCTGCCTTTTTGGCTTCGGAGGTTTCAAAGGGCTTTCTCTGATGTCGGAGGAAGCTCTTTGAAAGCTTGAAAGGCAGGGAGGAAGGGCAGAAAATTCGAATTTCCCACCCTTTCTCCCTGCCTTTTGGGTTCATAACTCAGTCCGCAAGTAGGGTCTACTATTTGCGATGAGATCGGGTTCGTAACCCAAAATGTTCGCAACTAGGGCCGTTCGTAAGTCGAGGGCCCACTGTATTTCAATTATTTATTTATTTTCATTTATTTATTTGATTTATATACCGCACATCTAGAACGGCTCTACTCTGAGAAATAATTTAGGTCATTATGTCCCTTTGCAGTGACATCTCCTCCAACATCACCATTCCAAGAAGTCTATATAAAATTCCAATTACCTACCTGTTTTTGATCCAAGTGGTACTGGCAGCTTGGTTTTCCACTGGGTATCTTCAGAACTTTCTGCAGAATATACTTCTTATAATTAAATTTAATCATGTCCATAGTGACAGAGTAACTCCTATCTTATCAACTACTACCAACATACAAGAATTATATACAACTCTTCCTAACTCCCCCATAGCTGGTTGCGTTACAGGTACAGCCAAATGTTGGGTTTTTCTAGCATAGCTTAGCCTCAGCAAAACCTCCTGAATTTCCATCAGTTAGCTGCATTGCTATACCACCATAGTAGGAATATCACTAGCAGTGGCAGATTGCCACTAATTAAAGAGTTTCTGCTTCAACCTTGGATTGTGCACAGTTTTGTCTCATTGTGCACAAATTGTGTGCAATCTGAAATCAAAGCGTAAGTCCTTGCTTTGATTCATTCAAATATTTATTTTAAAGATTTCAGAGCGGGGTACAGAAAATAAAAGGTAGTCATGAAACAATTCACAACAGTAAAACACCGGACCGAAATCAACTACCACAAAATCTTACTCACTTTCTTGATAATCTTCAAAAATTTCTTCTATTATGACATCTGGGCTGGATGTTGTCTGAGGAGGTGAACTAGCAATCCATTTATGAGTAGATGACAGAGTTATTTCTTGGAATTCATTGTAACTTTCTTCAAAACATGGGTCAGATTTTCGCAGAGAAGCAACTACAGGAGTTTCTTCAGCAACTGACTGAAGTTCCACATTTATTTCAGTAGAAGCACTATTTTCTATTTCCTCCTCCATAATGTTCAGTTTTAAAGGTCTATCTCCAAAACAGTGCCTAAGTTGACAAATTGTGCAAAAATCATAAGATATAGACATAATTTTAATACAAAGAATGTAAGAAAAATTTAAATGGTAATTGCTTTAGAAGGGCACATTTTGGATTTCTTATTTAATCTTTTATATATGTAAAAGCTGTA